CATGAAAGAAACCATGGGTCTCCCACGACCATCGCTGCTACGGCCCTCAAGGCACTCACCAAGACAGATTGTTTTCCTTTCCAGAGGCAACGGGATATTAGCCAATCTTCCCGGTTGGTCTCTCCTTTCTCCTGGCATCCTCCCCTCGAGGAAGGATTCCATTTAGTGTGGATGGCGCGATCCTCCCGTCCAGCCTTGTCGGGGCGAAAGTCATTATCCGTGATGAGCAAGGAATCAGTTTCAGAGCAGCGGGTCAGCACTTTCAGTACTGGGACAGTGCCCAGGTGGAACTCAAAACTATTGCATTTATGCATACCATTTGCGAATCGTGGATGTTTGAAGGAAAAGGGGTCATTATTGAAGGTGATAATCTGAATATTATCCATTTTTTGGAAGCTTTCATTGAAAAGAAAGATTGGCAGGCCGACCGCAGCATGATCTAGATCTGACTTTCCTCTCCAACTTCTGTCAGGTTCTTTTTACATGCCCCCAGAAATTATAACAAAGCCGCTCATTTTTTGTGCTAAACATGCTCTTACATGTACTTTCATTTTGATGCATGTCGAAGAGGATAAAGAACTTTCCTCTATACTTGTAGATGACAGAGATTTTTTTTTGCACCATATATGCATCCATGCATTGTTTTGTAACATTTTTTTTTATAAATAAAAATGCACAACTTACAAGGATATCAACCCCTCTAAAGGCACCATATAAACTTACAAGGATATCAACCCCTCTAAAGGCACCATTCAGAAAAGGAAAGGTAAAGGCACCCCTCTAAAGGCACCATTCACAACTTGCAAGAAATCTCATGTATTGGTTATGCCCATTCAGAAAAGGAAAGGAAAAGGAGAATCCTAGCAAACATGTTCTCATAACCATAAATTGTAACTAATTGATTCAAAAGATGAACAATGTATCCAAATAAAAATCACCAATAGAAAAGCAACAAAAACAACAACAACAATAACAAAATATTTATCCCACTAAGTTGGGTCGACTACATGAATCATTTTTCTCCATTGTGTCCTATTTAGTGTCATATTTTCATTAAACTCTAATAAATTAAGATCATTTTTTATACAATAAGCCCGAGTCATCCTAGGTCAACCTCAGTCTTTCTTAACATAAGTCGAACCTAACACATCTACTCTTCTAATCGGATAATCATATGGTCGACGATTAAAGTGACCAAACTATCTAAGACGACTCTCTAATTTTGTTCGTCACTGGAGCTACACCAACCCTATCACGGATATAATCATTTCGCATTTTATCTCTAAGTGTAAACCCCCTTATCCACTTAATCATTCTAATCTCAGCAATACTTAACTTAGTTTTAAGCTTCTCTTTTAAAGGCCAACATTCAACACCATAGAGCATTGCAGATTGTTAGTTGAAGCCCGATCCTTGCTTCCGCCTGCTCCCGCGCACGCGTGAAGCGACTTCGAGCGTCGCTTCTCCAATTTCGCGAATCAGCGCATTCCCGCGAAGTGCCCGCTCCAGTCCCTGTTACCGATCGCCAAAATTCACAACCGCGACCCTGCGGTTTCGCTAACTGCTCCCGCCTCCAGGTTCGCGAAATGACGCCGCACATGTCTCCTTTAAGTTGCGAACAGAAGAGGAAAAAAATTAAGAGTCACGGTTTTTGGTGTTCTTCGGATTTCCTCGAGACAGAGAAAGAGAAGTGCAAGAAGTAATTCCTTGCGGCAAAAGAAAGAAGAAAGAAGAAGAAGAAGATTGTTCTCCATTGGTTTCTTCTTGGTGGCTTGTGGCAGAAAAGAAATTAAGTTTATTTCTCTTGTAAGTTTATCTTCTCCGGTGTATCTCGGTGTACAGTTTCTTCGGTGTATCTCGGTGTAAAGAGAGAACAACAAAGAGAGAAAAAGAGATAGCAATGAAGTGAGAGATTCCTCTTGTAAGTCGAGACGATCGACTGGTGTAAATTCTTCAAGTAGTAAAATCATATGTAACTCTGTGGACGTAGGCAATTTGTCGAACTACGTAAATTTGTGTGTTTCGTTGTGTTACTGTTTTATGGTGTGAATTTTTCTCGTTCTATTTTTCGCTCAAAGATTGTACTCCTATTATATATATATATATATATACACACACACACACCACAACAACTGATATATCTATCTCCCAACAACTGGTATCAGAGCTTTGTTCGGATATGAGGAAAAATGGTGACTGCAGATGAAGTGAAGGTTTCAGGGATCGAAAAATTTGATGGCACATATTTTGGTTATTGGAGGAAGCAGATAGAGTACTACCTCTATGGGAAAAAACTTTATCTTCCATTATTAGGGAAAAGACCTGAAATGATGGATGAAGCTGAATGATTATTCGATTGACCCTATCGAGGTCTGTTGCACACAACGTCGTCAAGGAGAGAACGACTACAGATCTCATGAAAGTTATCAGGTATGTATGAAAAACCATCAGCGAATAACAAGGTGTACTTGATGAAGAAGTTATTCAATTTGAAGATGACGGAACGTGTTTTTGTTGCTCAACACCTGAATGATTTCAATACTATCACAAATCAATTATCGTCTGTTGAAATTGATTTTGATGATGAGATACGTGCGCTGATATTATTGGCATCGTTGTCAAATAGTTGGGAAGTCATGAGAATGATAGTTAGTGGTTCTGCAGGTAAATCTAAACTGAAATGTGATGATATTTGTGATTTGATTTTGGCTGAAGATGTGCGCAGGAAAGATTCTGTTGAGATCTCAAATACAAGTTCGACACTGAATATTAATTTCAAGGGGAGATAACAGGACATGAACTTAACTAGAGGATTTAGAGGGAGATCAAAATCAAAGTCTAGTTAGCAGACAACCTATTGGAATTGTGGTAAGGCTGACCACATAAAGAGGAACAGCATAACAGCATGAATCCCAAGAAGATGGAGAATGATAGCGCAAATGTGGTATCTGATGAAGAGAGAGATCAAAATCAAAGTCTAGTTGATAGTTCTATTGATGATGGAAGTGAAGAGGAGAGTGGGCCTGAGTCACCCATTGCTATTGTTCCACAGATAGATAGTGGACAACTACTGAGCAATGAAGAAATCTTATTAGATGAATGTTCGAGGAGGGTGGGTCCGGGGCACCCAATCCTATTGTTCTACAGACAGATGATGGAGAACCACAGAGCAATTAAGAAATCTTGCAAGATGAAAGTTCGAGCAAGTGGGAGCTGACAGAACTTCCACCTGGGAAGAAGACATTTCACAACAAGTTGGTGTACTAGGTGAAGACTGAGCTTGATTCCTCTTGTAAATCGAGACAATCGACTTGTGTAAATTCCTCAATAGTAAAATCCTCTGCAACTCCGTGAAAGCAGGCAATTTGCTGAACCACTTCGTATTTCGCTGTGTTACTGTTTTCTGGTGTGAATTTTTCTGGTTCTTATTTTCACTTCAAAGATCATTCTCTTATTGTATTTATATATATAAATATATAAGATCTAGTTGTTGTGGTGTGTATATATATATATATATATATATACACCACAACAACTAATATATTTATCTCCTAACAGCAGATCTCACTACCATCTTATAAAATTTTCCTTTCAGTCAAAGAGGTATTTTTCTATCACACAATAGGCCCGAAGCATTCCTCCACTTCAACCAACCAACTTGAATTCTACTAATAACGCCCCATCAATATCACCGTCACTTTGAACAATACACCTGAGATATTACACCTTTTAATAATCTGATCACCCATTGTTACATTTTTGTCGCTAGAGCTACTACTACTAAAATTACATTTCATGGGTTCAGTTTTAGTTCTAATCAAACAAAGGCCTTTAGACTCCAAGGTAGACTTCCATAATTCAAGTTTTTCATGAGCTTTTCTCGTCTTGTCCATCATCAAACCTCTCAATAAACAATAAAAATCATATGTAGATCCTCCTTATCATCTCTAAACTTCTCCATCAAACCTCTCAATAAACAATAAAAATCATATGTAGATCCTCCTTATCATCTCTAAACTTCTCCATCAAACCTCTCAATAAACAATAAAAATCATATGTAGATCCTCCTTATCATCTCTAAACTTCTCCATCAAACCTCTCAATAAACAATAAAAATCATATGTAGATCCTCCTTATCATCTCTAAACTTCTCCATCAAACCTCTCAATAAACAATAAAAATCATATGTAGATCCTCCTTATCATCTCTAAACTTCTACATCAAACCTCTCAATAAATGTATAGCTTCCATAGTAGACCTGTCCGGCATAAATCCAAATTGATTATGAGAAATCTTTGTCATACGACTTAATCTATGTTCAATTATCGTCACCCATAATTTTAAAGTATGACACATCAACTTAATTCCTCAATAATTGGCACATTCCTGTGCATCCCCTTATTCTTAAAAATAAGGACCAAAATACTCTTCCTCCACTCCTCAGACATCATTTTAGTTTTCAAAATAATATTAGAGAGTTTAGTAAGCCATGAAACTCCAAAAAAACCTAAATATTTCCACATTTCAATTGGGATATCATCAGGTCCAACAAACTTTGCACCCTTTGTTTTCTTTAAAGCCTCATCAACTTCTTTTTTACTAATGCATCCGTAAAAATGAAATATTTTATTATTATTAACGATATTAAAATCACTAAAAAAATTATCTATCTAAAAAATAAAGGAAAATGTCAACCAGATTTGAATAGAAAGAATAGAATATCAAGTAAAAAGAATTCAAGGTAATGCTGAAATAAATCACATACATAGCATCAACCCAGAAAGAGTTTTTACACGAATAAATCAACATAAAAAACAAGTGATTAACTTAATCAGAGCTAAACTTTATGGATGAAACAAGTAGAATTAGTCCGGTAATAATTTATCAAACAGAAAAGCATATCATGCTCTAATTCATGAATTTAATATGGACATCAGTTTTCTAAGGCTTGGCATAATCAGTTCTTCCGCATGTCAGTAAATGTGTAGTTCGGTGCAAACCTTAAGAAGCTCCCAATAGGTTATCTCAGACCTTCCCATTAGTTGGTTGTCCATTAGTTCCAAGCAGCGAACAACATCAATCATACTTTGTTTAAAAATACATTCCCTTAGAACAATATTGTATAAAGGTAGACCAATGTGGTAATTATCACTTTCCTCTAGAGACTTTATCCATTCAAATGCCTGAATTGAGAAAGAAATAAAAACTAAGTACACCGTTGCAAAGAGGATACTTCCATTTTGTTTATAAAATTATGAGGCAATCATGAAAAAAGTAATCACAAGGATGGTACACACATTAAATCTTCAGATTAAAAAAAATCACTTAATGAAAGATCGATTGATATTCAAGTGTTGAGTCTATTTTGAGGGTGAATATAACTGATGTTTTCTCAAAAAAGTAAATGAAAGAAAACAAAAAATCAAGAAATGTGTCATGAAAAACTTCAAGCACTTGTGTCAGGAAAAACAACAGAGAATTATAACTATTCCAGTAAATCTATAAAATCCCAGAAAATTGCTGTAAAAAACCCTGACGTAATTCTGATATGAAACTTTAAAATCAATGACCAAATCTCATTCATTAGCACAGTAAGTATCAATAACCATAGTTAATACAACTGAAGCCCTCTGATCAACACTTCGGAAGTAACACCTGTAAGCCTTTGTCAACCGCCACAACTAAAATACTAACATATTAATTCAACAACAAGAAGCACCCAAATGTTCTTCTGACATCTAGCGATTGAGATTGTAGCAGAAAATTATTTTTTCCTTAATCTTTCCTTGAAAGAGAATCTAAGCCAAAAGATGAGAGAAAAAGAGAAAGAAATGAATAAAGGGAGAAAACTGGAGAGAAAAGATGAAAAAAGTGGTTTGGCAATGCTAAGGGAAGAGATGAAAGCTAAAGAGCAACCATTAAGTTTATTTCATTCATCAAATCATAATGATACCACATAAGGTACCTTTGCATAGACTAAGGTTAATGTAGAATGTTTTGCATATAGGTTTCATAATGAACATTTAATAAAAAATGCATAATAACCAATGCCCTCAAATTTGCAGGTAACAAAACCTTGATCCTCAAAAAACTACTCATTATCATTTTATGAAAATAAAAAAGCATGAAGATATCTATCCAAAGGAAATTTTAATGACCGCCTTTAAGAAATTCAAAATAAAAAATAGCCACGCAAAAGAATTAAAATCATATACTTGGTGAAACCCAAATTCTATCAAATTTGGCAAAATCGATTGCAAGAGCAGACCAAGAACAAAATAAGGAAAAAGAAAAATGGAAATAAACCAGAAGCAAGCCTTAAAACAAGGAAATAACTTTTCTTATAACCCTTCAAATCTCTCACTTGATAAAAAATTGAAGTCCTAAAAACAGAATAAATACTAGGTAGAAATCAATATTTCTGCATTCATCATTTCTTTATTAATAATAAAAAATCCTTATAAAATTCTCTCATAAATCAATCAAAGTAGCCACAAATTTGCACATGGCTACTACCAACAACAACAACAAGCCCTTATCCCACTAAGTGCAGTTGGCTGCATGAATCATTTTTTTTCCATTATGTCCTATTGTGTGTCATATTTTCATTTAATTCTAATAAATTAAGACAATTTTTTTACTCAACATGCACAAGTCATTTTAGGCAAACCTCTAACTTTCTTAACATAAGTCGAATCTAAAACATCTACTATTCTAACCGGATCATCAGATGGTCGACGTTTAATGTGACCAAACCCTCTAAGACGACTCTCTCAAATCTTGTCTGCCACTGGAATTATACCAACCCTTTCACGGATACATTCGTTTCGCATTTAGTCTCTAAGAGTCAAGCCACTCATCAACCTAAGCATTCTCATTTCACCAACATTTAACTTAGTTTTCTTTTTTTTTTTGTGCTATTTCACCAACATTTAACTTAGTTTTCTTTTTTTTTTTGTGCTTTTTTTTTTATAATCCAACATTCTGCGCAATAAAACATGGCAAGTCTCACCACCATCTTATAAAATTTTCCTTCAAGTCAAGAGTAATTTTCTATGACACATTAGATCTGATGCATTCCTCCACTTCAACCACTCAAATTGAATTCTAATAATAACATCCGCATCTAAATCACCGTCACTTTAAAAAATAGACCCGAGATATCTAAAACGCTCACTCCTTCTAATGATTTGATCACCCATTGTTACAACTATGCCACTAGAACTACTACTACAAAAATTACATTCCATGTATTCAATTTTAGATTTGCTCGAACGAAGGCCCTTAGACTCTAATGTAGGCCTTAAAAATTCAAGTTTATCCTGAACTCTTTCTCTAGTCTTATCCACAGGAAGAATTTCATCGGCAACAAGCATACACCAAGATACATCCTCTTGTAAATGTCCACTTGTAAATGTCCAGTAAGTTCCAGTAAGTGCATTCATAACTAAAACAAAAAGATATGGGCTTTAAGCATAACCCTGATGTAAACCAACTGAAATAGAAAATTACTTGGTCAATCCTCCTCCTCTTCGAACAAAAGCAGCAACACTAGCATACATACCTTTAATGACTTTAATATAAGTCACATCAACACATTTATCATCTAGAACTCTCCAAAGAACTTCTCTTGGAACCTTTTCGTACGCTTTTTCTAAATCAATAAAAATCATATGTAGATCCTCCTAGCTCTCTTTGTACTTCTCCATCAAACCTCTCAATAAATGTATAGATTCCATAGTATACTTTGCCCGATATAATCCAAGCTAATTATGAGAAATCTTTGTATCTCCTCTTAAACTTATTTTCAATGACTATAATTTTAATGTATGACACATTAACTTAATACCTCTATAATTTTCGTACTCTTGTGCATCCTCTTTATTCTTAAAAATAGTGATCAAACTATTTTGTTTCCACTCATCAAGCATAGCTACTAGTAAATAGACAAATTCCAATGACAAAGGAGAATTAACAGAATGATATCGGAGTTTAACAAAACACCAAATTCAAACAAATATTATAACTAAACTAAAATAGAAAATTACAACTTAGCAATAGGAAATATGAAACTGCAATAAATGACAACACAAAGTCAACTATAGTTGAATCTAGAATTGGTAATGGTGGTCGACGGGGGCTTGAAAGGTAGAAGCAAGGCCAGGAAGGAGGGACGGCGGTTGCGACAATGGGAAACTATAGAAAAAATAGCAAAGGTTGTTTTGGGCAGTTGCAACAAGTAAACATAATGCGAAGAAAACTACAGTGAGCAATGTGGGAAATATGGGAAAGGATAGGAGAAAAAATAATCACCATCTTAGAAGCAAGATACAGTCAGAGCATCACTAAGACTCTTGGATACACCCCTAGAAGGAAAAACATAGACACTGATGGTTGTCTCAAGCAAACATAAGACAAAAATTGATCCTAATACATCATGAAAGCAAATTTATAATAATAAAATAACTATGAGTGGGTCCAAAGATCCGGCCAACACTCCACAGCAAGGAAAACTTGGACAGAGCAAATCTAGCTCCACTCGCTTTCAAACACAGTGAATGTTATGTCTGCTTTCAAACGCCAGGCGTCATGGAGTAATGTTGCTAATAGCAACAACAACAACAACAACAAAGCATTGATCACACTTAAGTGGGGTCGGCTACATGAATCCTTTTTCTCCACTGCGTCCTATTGAGCGTCATATTTTCATTTAATTCTAATAAATTAAGATCATATTTTATACAATATGCACAAGTCTTTTTAGGTCTACTTCTGCCTTTCTTAACATAAGACGAATCTAAAACATCTACTCTCCTAATCGGATCATCAGATGGTCGACGCTTAATGTGAACAAGCCATCTAATACAAATTTCTCTAATTTTGTCCATCACAGAAGCTACACCAACCCTACCATGGATATATTCATTTCCATTTTGGTCTCTAAGTGTAAAGCCACTCATCCACCTAATCATTCTCATCTCGGCAACACTTAACTTAGTATTTTAGTATTATGCTTCTCTTTTAAAGGCCAACATTCAGCGCCATGGAGCATTGCAGGTCTCACCACCGTTTTATAAAATTTTCCTTTCAATTTAAGCGGTACTTTTTTATCACACAAAGACTTCAACCAACCAACTTGAATGCTACCATTAACATCCACATCTCCATCCATCCACGCTTTGAACAACAGACTCGAGATATTTAAATCATTCACAGATTTTAATAATTTGATCACCCAAAGTTACACTTTTGTCACTAGAGCTACTACTACTAAAATTACATTCCATGTATTTAGTTTTAGTTCTACTCAAATGAAGAACTTTAGACTCCAATGTAGACCTCCAGAATTCAAGTATTCCAAAGGTTTTTTCTCTCATCTTATCCACAAGAAGGATATCATAAGCAAAAAAAGCATACACCAATCATCAGCAAGGATATCAGTAGCAAAAAGCATACACCAAGGTACATCCTCGTGTAGATGTTCAGTGAGACCATCCATAACTAAAGCAAAAAGATATAGGCTTAGAGCCACAACTAAAGAAAAAGATGTAATCCAACTGAAATAGGAAACTACTTGGTCAATCCTCCTCCAGTTCGAACACAAGTAACAACTCTAGTATACATATGACTTGAATATAAGTCATATCAACACCTTTCTACTCAAGAACTCTCCAAAGGATATCCATGGAGACCTTATCGTAAGCTTTTTCTAAATCAATAAAAATCAAATGTGGATTCTCAAAATCAAATGTAGTAGATTCTCCTTATTATCTCTGGACTTCTCCATCAAACCTCTCAATAAATGTATAGCTTCCATAGTAGACCTGCCCGGCATAAATCCAAATTGATTATGAGAAATCTTTATGATACTCTTAACTTATGTTCAATTACCCTCTCCCATAATTTTAAAGTATGACATATCAACATAATTTATCTATAATTTGCACATTCTTGTGCATTCCCTTTATTCTTAAAAATAGGGATATTTATATTGTTCCTCCAATCCTCAGGCATCTTCTTAGCTTTTAAAATAATATTAAAGGGTTTAGTAAGCCAGGAAACTCCCAAATCTTCTAAATATTTTCATACTTCAATTGAGATATCATCAGGACCCACAAACTTTCCACACTTGATTTTCATTAAAGCCTCCTCAACTTTTTTTTATTAATGTGACGATAAAAATGTAACATTTTATTATTATTAACGTTATTAAGATCACTAAGATCGACCGTATTTTCAGAAATTTCATTATAAGTTTATCAAAATAACTCACCCACCTATGTTAAATATCTTTTTCTAAAAAAAATCTTTTTTCATTTTCATCTTTAATACACTTTACTTGATTAAATTTTTACTTTTATTTTCTCTTTCTTTGGCTGGTTTAAACATATATTTTTTCACCCTCCTTAGTATATAATCTATTATAAAGATCATTAAAAGCTGAATTTTTAGCGTCACAGATTGTTCTTTTAAACTCCTTGTGGGACGTTTGATATTTTTCTCAGTTCTTTAAATTTTTACATTTAAATCAATTTCTATAATATAAATTCTTATATTTTATTTTTTCTTACATATTATTATTTCACCACAAATCATTTTTATTTAAAGAAAATTTTTCTTTTGATTCTCCAAAGACATCTTTTGCTATTTGTTTAATAGTGTTTGTTACTTTATCCCACATAGCATTTGCTTCAACATGAACATCCCAAATTTTGAAATCTTGAATTTTACTCATAAAAATAATTTTAGTTGTCTTTTAGATTCCCCCATCTAATTTTACGATGATGAGTCATAGTATTTTTTATTTTACAACTCTTTATCTTAAAATTTAGAACTAATAAACGATGTTGGATACTTAAATCCTCCCTTGGAATGACCTTACAATCTTTACAATGTCGACGATCTCAATGATGAGTCATGCTGCATATAGCAATAGCAAAAAATTTCAAAGCCTCAAAAGGCCCAAATGTACATAGCAGAAAAAAGAAGAAACACAGCCATTTGCAACAGTAACTATAGCGTAAAGTGTATGTACTTTGACTATATTAATGAAATATCATAATTAATATTGTGGTGAGCAATGCTTTTCAATAGAATCAAGGATATTTTATTAATATAAGCAAGCTAGCAAAGCTTAATCACAATTATTTGAAACTACTTACAAAACTTGTCTTTCAACAACCATAAATGTAGCACACAAAAGTTTTAAATGTAACAACCCTCATATACTTTTATAATGTAGAAGGGATATCTTTTCACTTAGTGACGCAGGGATCCCGCGGGATGTTCCACCTACATGTCTGGACCGAACCGATCCAAATCTTTCCTTGCTTTGGAGTGCGGCCAGCCCTTTGGCCAAATGCATCTAATTATCTTATTATTATAAATTTCCTTTCATGGGAGTCTAAGGTCAGTTTTGTCATGTGTTTGTCCTGAAAAACTATTGACATCACTATTTTCCCATCTAGGGACGTATTCAAAGGTTGAGTGGTCTAATGTGGTGATTATCCTCTCCCCTACCCTTCCCGTCCTTCCCACTTTGCTCCCCGTTACCCACCCTTACTGCAGGTGCCCCCATAACAGTCATCCTTTGATGATTTTCTTTTGGTTTTCCTCTTCCTAGTCGCTCTTCCCTCCCTCGGTCTCCCCGCATCACTCCCAACCAAACCTTACTCACTGTAGTAGCTCTATACTGCCTCCGTGCAGCCTTGCTGCTGCTCGAACCGCCCACCCTACTTGTTACAACCCTGGGAGAGCAAGTCATTGTTGTCTTCCACTATTTCCCGTCACTGTCCAGCCGCCCCTTCTTTCTTGACGTTGTCCGAACAGCAAGCAGTTATCGTTACCCCACCATACCCGCCACTTGCTCCACTTCCCCATCTTGCAACCGCCCTTCCACACCCCAAGCAGCCAACACCACCACCTTAGATTCACCCTAGTCACGTGTTTCGTGTCCTGTCAGTTGCAATTTCATATTTTCATATGTTTGGTTGTAAGTTTCTATTTAATTTCAATAATAATATTGGTTTGTTACATTATTGTTAGTTAATTCAAGTATCATTTGATATCACAGCTAGGTTAACCCCAGTCCTATCTTAGGGCTATCAAAATCCACAAATATCGAACCCAATCTCCACCCAAAAAACTCCACCCCCTTGCTGAATTTTCAATTCAGACACCAAAATTTTTCTGTCCCCATCCTAAATCAACCTTGTACACCCTCTCATTTTCCAAACATAAACTCCAACCATACCACCAAGAAGACAATTGTCGAAAACCTGATCAAGAGGGAATGCCACAGTGCCACTTATGAGAAATATTCAAAGATATATTCTAAAAATTTCTATAAAAAATATGCAGTGAAAAATCCTCCAACTACAACACAAACTTGTCGTCTTTGAGAGAAGACAATCTGAAAAACTCACCCGTAGCCACAACGGCCACTCGCCTTGTCAAAGAAATGAAGTCGTTCCCTTCACTAGGTAAATTCCAGGGATGAAGGATCACTACCCCAAGAATTTGAGTCCTCTCCTAATTATCCTATTATTATATATTTTCTTTTCGTGGAAATATGGGTTTAGTTTTTGTGGTACGTTTGTTCGGGACAGCTACTAGCGTCTTTGTTTTCCAGTCTAAGAGTGTATCCCATTGTTGAGTGGTGCCCCGGCTCTATCTCGCTCACGAAGTTGTGATTTTCCTTCCCCTTCCCCTTCGCCTTCCCCTTCCCCTTCGCCTTACCCTTCCCCATCCTTCCCACATCACTTCCTGTCGCCACCCTTGTTGCACGCACCCCCAAAACTGTTGTCCTTGTAGTTTTCACTGCAGTTTTCCCCTTTCCCAGCCACTATTCCCTTTTTCGTCCTCCCTGCATCACTCCCAACCAACTGTTCCTCGTTGCAGCGGCCCGTATCGCATCCATGAAGCCTCCTTGTTGTTCCAACAGCTCTCCCTATTTGCTGCAACCCCGGGACAGCAAGTCAGCGCTGTCTTCAACTGTTTCCCGCTGCGCTCCCGCCGCCCCTTCCTACTTTTTGTTGCCAGGACAGCAAGCAACTGTTGTTTCCTCGCCACTTGCACCACTCCCATCTTGCCAGCGCCCTTCCACGCCCCTAACAGCAACCACCACCTTAGCTTCACCCTAGTGGCGTGTTTTGTGTTGTGTCTCTTTCAATTTCACAATTTTATTTGTTTGATTGTAAGTTTCTATTTGATTTCAGTAATAATATTTAGAGTATATAAATGGGAACCAACAACTTATATTAGCCATTTAGATTGTGAATTTTATAGGCACAACCTCTATAGCGTGGAAAAGAGGCGTGGGAAACAATCAAACAAAGGAAAAAATAACTTAATGAGTTAGTTATCATTGAGGGATATAAAAAGAATAAAGTCGGTGTGTAATGGAATTCATGTGGACCTCATATGTACGATATAAATCCAGTAATAAACATTTGGATTGAGCTTAAAAAATGGAAAATTAAAATGAAGACAGTAAAAGAAATGCAAATATCTATAAGCATTGCCAATTATTTCAGGATACAATTAATTACCATAAACATAAATGAGATGAGCCTTATCAATATTTGCAAAGTACTAACTTTATTAAATCATCCATCACCTCCTTAAAGTACCCTCCTTTACTGAAAGCTTGGATAATGCATAAATAAGATTTCTTCCTCATAGCTATTTCATTTTTCGCCATTACTTTCCATGCCTCCAAAACAAACTGCAAACAAATATAATTTTTGTTTAATGAGAGAAAAATAAAGGTCACTTTTAAAAATTTAACATCGACCAAAATTATAATTTATCTAAAATTCATTAATGTCATTTGCAGATGGTTATTAATAGAAAGCCGATCTAGTAAATGTTGATGAGGAAATGCACAAGAATGAAGGATAACTACATAGATGAATAAAAAATAACCATGATGGATTTCATTCCCCTAAGTAGCAATTTGGTTGAAATATTCTGTAAAATGGAAATAACAAATATATGTTCAGCGTGCAATTTCATCAAACTCTACCAAAACTTGTACAAACACAATCCATTTCAAGGAATTCTAGCAGAGTAGACCATCATACACGTGAAATGCCATTGAACTTTAAATATAGACTGTGCAAAAACCAGAGAGTCCAATTTTTTCTTTCAGCATGATAAAGAGCTTTGCCTGATAAATTAATATCAAATTGCACATCTTATTAAACGATCTAGTTTACTGGGCAAATTTAGCGTCCTCATTAACTAAAATTATATAAAAAAAAAGATTGATGTCAGGTATTTAACTGTAAACAAGCTACCAATCCGCCTCATTAATCCAATTTGTTTTATGATTCATACATGAACGTTAGCTCTTCAAAATAAAAAAGCATTATTAACAAGTTATTTCAAAGAAAATTGTCCAGTAAAAGGTAATGGAAAAGGGCACTTAATGCATACAATCTATTCAAAAAATTATAAAGTGAAAACACATATATACTCTTGGCAATCAGCAAACCCACCAGTGGATCTGGAGTTCGTGCACAATATTCCAATATATAATCAAAATCCTCAGCATTTGAAGATTCATTCATACAACAAAGATCAACGAACATCTCCTGAGCTCTGTTTCTCTGGCCCAAACGAAGTGCATTAATAATTTTAATCTGTTCACCCTGAGTTCCTGAGTATTTTGACCTTTGAAATGAGCGGAAATCTGCATTATGAAAGGAGCAAAGTTTCAACCCTTAACTGAATAATAAAAAATACAAATAGGTCAGGTCCATTGCTCCAATGTGCTCCTCTAATGTGTAAGGCTGTTCAGGAATACTGTAATTGGTCAAACTGCAAATTTCTGTAAAAGGTAAGTTAAATTTGTCATAGTCCCAAGTGAAGACTTGGATATCAGTTTCAATAAGTAACATGCAAGATTGTTACTTTTCAGTTAAAGCCATAAAGTAAAAGAAAAGGAAAGCAGATTTTAACAAACCCCATAAATCAGAAAAAGCTTGAGATGACTGCACCCTTGCACAAACATTCTTCTGCACCTAAAAAGGTCTCAAATAACAGGCTCTCTAAGAAAGAACAATAGAAAGAAACCCTAAAAAAACCAAGATATTGGCTTACTATTTCATTGCCCTTTGAAATTTTAGCAGAATCCTTGTGCCTTTGGCGAGAAGCCCTTAATCTGATGAGAAACATAACAAATTAGAAAAATGTCTATTTCTTTCAGGAAAGTATTCATCACTAAGTCCACTCACAAATATCTATGCATCTTCTGGAGCCTCCAAGAGGAAATCGAAGGAGTCCAAACGTGAAAAATCAAAGGATTTGATGTTGATCGGGCTCAGAATGGTTCTCAAATCTCAGATCCTTCTCCTTTCGGATTGAGTGTGGGCTCATGTTATTTTCTCATATGCCTGTAAAGCTTATCCTCTTTGAAAATGACCAGCTACTAAGGCAACAAAACTCCTCCTGCACCTAGGGTGAAGCTGTAACAGACGAATATGGTTATATATGGATGTAGAAGGAATTCTCCCAAGCATTCTCGTACCAAAACATTAAAGCCTAAAGTAGAAGAAGGAATAATACCTGTTTCAATGCAAATATGAAATTATGGCATATCCAATGTAAGGTTCAAAACACAACCAAAAGTTTAAAGATAAAAGCAAGCAATCACAAAAAATTCTCAAAAGGTTTTATAAATCTTTCAAGGTTATGAAAACAGAGAAAAGCAACTTTAAAATCAAGGAACTAAAACCAGGTCTATATAACTTAAATATTAATAATTCTTAACTAGCGAAATTTGATACGAACCGACCTCAAAATTGGCACGATTTTTCATAAAAATTAGAGCAAACATAGTATTTCTTCAATAAATCAAACAACTCAACACGAAAACAAAGATAAACACCTGCAATTCGAGAAGTAGGTGGTCTCTCCCACTTCCTACAATTCGAGAGGTAGGAAATCTCTCCCAAAGCCTAGACCTAAAGGCTTCCAACTCAATCTCATACATAAAAACTAACATTATATATAATAAGCATATTTGTATCTAATAATAATAATAATTAAAAACTAAATTGTCCTTAGGCGTACAAAAGACAAATTTACCCTCAGGTTAGGCACCCTCGTAACAATACTTCCCCCCCAGACACATTGCCCTCAAGGAGGGAGAAAATGAGTGTTCCTCCTCCCCCACAGCTGGAAATATTTCTTCATTATTTGATTCCTCGTCCTGCACTATGAGAACTTGTAATCTTATATCCTTGCAACGATGTCATGGGATAAACTTTTCATCACATCCAAAATATAACCCTTAGCTCGCTTCTCCCGAATCTGTCTCTATAAGGCGCTTGAGTGATGCTCTCGGTCGTGATCCATTATTCGAGTCTCGTGCAGCCTCCCTCTGGACTTCCACAGTCTAAACTTTTGGCATCATCGTGGTTGCAACAATTCCGTATGACGCTTCATCTATGTTGCTCCTGTTGACTTTCTTTATCTGGTTATTGTCTTCCACCATATGGGCTAGCTCCATCATCTCCCTTAATCACAGCGGTTTTAGTAGTCAGTGTTGCCCATATGTCGAGCTTTAAGTGCTTCATGAAATTCCCCTCCTCCTTCAGAAATCCCCCACAGTCGTCCTGAAAATAGTTCAAATCTTTCTCAATACTCTATGATCTTCCCCTCCTGAGTCAAGGCAGATAATTGCTCGTGTAGGTTTCCTTCCCAAACGGCTCAGAAATATTCAAACAAACAATTATTAAACTCATCCAACGAACGAAATGGGTATCAAGCTTCCCTCCCCTGAACCCAATCTAAGGCTTTCCCCTCCAAAAAAAATCATGCCGCCATGAGTTTCTCCTACCCATCTAACTCATTCACTGCGAAATATTGTTCCGACAAATACACCAACCCATGTGTGTATTCCCCCTCGAAGATCGACATCTTCAATTTCTTAACTCTAATATCTCTTCCCTAACTTCCTCACCCATGTGTGTATTCCCCCTCAAAGATCGACATCTCCAATTTCTTAACTCTAATATCTCTACCCTAACTTCCTCTTCCTCCATTGCTTCACCCATGTATTGAGGGTAAAAATCCTTCATTCAATCGTAGTCATATCCCCTCCCTGCTTCTCTCCCTTCTTCTTCGTGCTCCTCCATACCTCTGGCATAATCTCTTCTCCATGTTTTGGCCCAACCGCCTCCATCAGAAATCTCAAATCCACCCCTAATCAGAGCCTTGGGAGGGGGTTCATGGTGGTGGATGTTTTCCTCCTCATGTTCCTCATGTTCGATCTATTTTCCCTTTGATCTTGCCATGGATTCTCCAGTTAACATTTGGTTAGGATTTGCAAATTCAACAGTCGACGGGGTCTTGGATTGCATCTCAATAAGCTTCTTTATCATATGTCGAATTTCCCTCATGTTCTTGAATCGGTCCTCCATTCTTTTTTCCATTGAAGAAAACATATCATCTATGGCGGCAAACCTTTCTTCCATCCCCGATCTGATTTGATTAATCTCTTCTTCTAATTTCTTATCCAAATCATTTATTTTTTTAGTTGTCATTGTCTACTGGGGCCTGCTTGATTTCGGGTCAGGTCGCTGACTTCTAGTATCAAAATTAGGGCACACCCGATTCTGTCGCAGCCTTCCCCACTAGTTCTGATTGAGATTGTATCACAGATCGACCATATCGCAGGTCCAATCAAGAAAGTGCGGGCTGACAGATGTTCCCAACCAGTTTTCCCTTTTTCTGTAAGTCACAAGCCCGTCGTTGCCTTCTTCTGTAAGCCGCAAGCCCATCATTGCCTTCCCCGCAAGCAATGATCGTGACTCTATCGCTTGGTTTCGGTCCTCTGTATGATAATCCCTAGCGCAGTGTCCCAAACCCGTCTCCTTGCACGCGATCCTTCGACAATCCTTTGTGTCCACTTGCACGCGACTGTAAGCAGGTTTTAAATCTAAATAAGCCGTGATTCTTCCCAGTTAGCTCCAATCGCTAATGTTTGGTGAGGTGAAGTCACGAAACCCTTATATTTAGTCGCTGCTTTTCCCGCAAGCTTAAATCGCGACTGAATGACAATCTCGAGCACACTTTCTCATAAATCTTGCTCTAATACCAATTTGATACAATCTGATCTCAAAATTGGCATGTTTTTTCAAAAAAATTAGGGCAAACACAATATTTTTTTAGTATATCAAACAACTCAACAAGAAAACAAAGATAAACAACTACAATTCAAGAGGTAGGCGGTCTCTCCCAATTTCTACAACTCCAAAACCTAAACCTAAAGACTCAAAACTCAATCTCATGCATAAAAACTAACCCTAAACATAATAAGCAAAAATAATAATAATAATAATAATAATAATAATAATAATAATAAAAGACTAAATTGCCCTTAGGCATACAAAAGAAAAATTTGTCCTTAGATTAAGCGCCCTCGTAACAAAATCGAACAAATTGTTTTAATAAACTGTCCAAACTCTATGCAAGGTACTTCAAATGGAAACAGTATTTAATATATTCTACAAAATAAAATTGATTCTTGATACTACAATCATTAACATATTTTATCTCAGTGTTGAAGCCAGTATGAGCTTAACAAAAGCCAAAAGTTAAATCAACAGAGTATAAGAATGAGTATGTATATTAAAGAAAATTATATAGATTAAAGTGGAAATTCAAGCTTCAACTAAATTTTGGTGATGCATCATCCGGGATCATGATGCCATACTTGATACTTTACTAGCTATTCTAGTAAACAATACTTCTGCCACAAAGCTAGCCTTACTTCAACTTCTTGAGTCTACAAGACCGAACATAAACTTAAGCCAATATATATGTTATTTAACTTAAAAAAAAATCACAGTTATTGTTGCAAATAGCATAATAATAACTTAGTTGAATGTTATGGGCATTAAAGGGTCGTACATAAGAAATAAAGAGCATCATTAGATATGAAGATTCTAAACGAACTAGTCAAAAATAACATTTTCATAATAATCATCAAAAGAAAGCATCCATAAATGCTCTCTAGCGATTTGATGCATTAACTTCCTAAATGCATACATAAAAATTCTCTAAAAACAATTCAAAGTGTTTCAATTTTTCTTAAATTAAGGCTGCACAAAGCCATAGAATAGAATCTCTTTTCAATGCAAGTAATCTTATATGTGAACTAGTTGAATACAATGCTTGCTTGTTAAGAGAATAGAAGAGAAATACTGTGAACAAAAAAATATGGAACAAAACTTTGCTACATATCATTTCATGCATTTTAAACGCCGTGGCACAGAAGCATTACAATGATGCAAGTAAAACAACCTAAGCAACAAATCTTATATAGACATGAGAAAATTAAGTTTTCTAAAAGCATTTATAAACAAGTAGATCAAATGGAACATAAACAATGTTTGAAAAGAACATTAAAAAGCTGAGAAACTGTAGAACAAAGAGAAATATGCCACAAATTCTTGTGGAGAAAGCCATTCCTTCAGCCACAATATTGTTTTACATTCTTTTTTTTGTAGTTCATTAATGTCAAATTCGTGTGTTGCATAAAAAGCGCAAATATGTGTGCTCAACACAATTACTTTGCACATCGAATGAACATCAACAAAAGAATAAAACTAAAATAGGTAATGTATACTAAAGGGGCGGCTTATAAGGGAGAACTTATAAAGTCCGCTAACTAACAAACACCATAAAGATGGTATAAAAACATAGCTTTTTAAGGTGTATTTCATTGATATTATAGCAAAGCAGCATACCGCCAGTAAGGCGGTGTGCACTAGTAATATAGTGGCACCCAAACCACCTTAAAAGCAATCACGAAAAACAAGCAGCTCGAGCTACACATGTTTGATCTTTGCAAGCCCTAGCAGCACTTACCTAGACCATGTTGACATGGGGCACATGAGCCTAGCATCACTAGCCTAAGTCGAGTGAACCAAGCAATACACTAGGCTATGTTGGACTTACTTGTGCACCCAATAGTATTAGCCTAGTCCAAGTTCCTGCCAAATCTTGTCTATGCCATATCTAAAGGATTAGTTGTCATTTATTACCAAATCAAGGCCCAAGAAATATTTTATCCATCAAAAACTGGTCGAGCCAAGCAATATTTAGGTGATTTTAAACTCGTGTTGTAAGAATGAATAGTATAAGATTAGTTGCCCTAACCTTATACCTCCTCAATCTGGACATATAGTAGTCAATTTAAGCTAGAGACATCCCATATAACTAAGCTTTGGCCAAATGTAAGAAAATATAAAATTGGATCAAGTAAAACCTCCAAGTTATTAATCACAAAAAATGTTTAGTATTGATGTCCTGTGAGTGATTGCGGGTAAGAAAACTCAAATTCAAACATAGTCTTTAAATATTCACAATCCAATCTTTTTCAATACTTACAATGCGAATAGAACCATCTTGGCTTATGACTTATTTAAGTTAGATATGTCTGAAGGAGTCCATAAACCATTACTGAATATACAAAAAAGACTAAAGAAGAAAGAGACAGACATGAAGTGCGAATGGGCTCTTTACGCAAAGACCGTAGAGAATTTTTTACTTGTAGAGCAAATGGCGCTCGGTGAACAAGCGGAGAAGTTCTACGACCGGTTACCGCCTGCGGCGTACGATTTACATGAAGTGCGAATGGGCTCTTTACGCAAAGACCGAAGAGAATTTTTTACTTGTAGAGCAAATGGCGCCCGTTGAACAAGCGGAGAAGTTCTACGACCGGGTACCGCCTGCGGCGTACGATTTACCTGTGAATCACCAAAGCAAAGATCACCTCCCAAGCTGCAAACTGCAAAGGAGTGAGAAACGCCCTCTATGACACCGTTGAACCGGGTTGGAGACAGAAAAGTAATCGCGGCGGTGACGACTCGAGAGTATTCCTCAGGCACAGTCGTCAGGCGCCACCCTAGCATCCGAAGGCGTTTTGCTGATGGCGTACCAAAGGTTCGTGTTTATGAGTAGTGCATTGGATTCAGAGGTGGCGGAAAAAAATTTCTCCCGTGCTTTGGGGGAAAGGAGAGAGTTCGAAGGGGCTGCCGTTAGCATGATTTGAACGCGATTTAAGCAGGATTTAACCTAATTCCTGCTACTGGTCCAGTCAAATCCTTCTCCCGTTCCTCGGTTTAGGGTTCGCAGCAAGCTGCGAGGGAGTGGGAGGATAGGAAGATTTAAGTACCGATTTTTATGTATTTTCATATATATCAAACTTTACAAATACAATTATAATTTTTTTTCTAATGTGAAGTAAACAATTTGGATGATATAAATATAAAATATAAAAAAATAGAAATTTGAGGTATTCATATATAGGAATTGAATGGTAGGTAAATAAGTACTCTAATTTAATTTGATGGCATTATAATATTGAGAGATTTACAAACAGAAGACCTCAAAATTGGCTATTTACACATTGAGCACCCTAAAATTGCTGAATGCCGCGCCTTTAAAACATTAAAAAACTACAATAGCCATCCATCAATTCCTATTATATAAATTAATTAATTATAATAATTAATGTAATCATTTTTTTTAACCTATAGATAGCCTCCTGTATGTACTCTATGGGGGTAATAATAAGATAAAATCATTTTTTTATTGCTTTCCCTTTTTATTCTTCTCTTTCTTTTTCTCTATTTTCACATTACCCTTCTTCTTCCTCATAGCAAGAATTTTAAGCTTTCACGATATCAAAGCCATTTTAATTTTAAGCCTCACGGCTATGTTGTTCTCATCATGGAGGACTCAAGCACCTCGGCCCTGAACACCGACCTAGCTTTGTTGAACATCTAAGTTGATACCTCCATTTATTGAATTCCTTGTATCAAACATTCGTACCATCGTGAATCTCTTTCCACAGAGAACTATAATTTATGAAGGTCTCGAGTTATAAAGATTATCAAAGCTAGTGGACTATTTGGATTCTCGTATGGCTCAATCTCTTGCCCTCTCATTACCGCACCATATCCAAAGTGTGCTTAAGTCTAACCCAACTTTCAATACATGGATGCTTCTTGATGAGCATCTTGTCCCTATTTTTCTCTCCACTATCTCGATTGTCATTCTTCCCTATGTTGTGAATCTCGAATTAGATATTCGGTTCACTGAAAAAATGACTCCAAGCCACCAATCATTTCTGCGTTATCTAGCACAAGAATGAATTGTTTAATGTCTCCATGAAGAATTACTCTATGACACAGTACCTCACTTAGATCAAGACCATTGTTGATAATAATTTCATTGCAGACTTTATAGTTTATCAATAAGACATTATTCTCTATATCAGGGCTTACCCTCTACTTATCAGGTCTTCAAAACCTCAATCTCAACAAATCTTTCTCCCACCATTTTAGAAGACTTACAATCGTTACTTGCTAGTGAGGAGATCAATATATCTACTGATTTTTTTTTTGAAGAATCAATCAAAAACAAATTTGATCTTCAAGCCATCGGAGGATGCGGGAAGAATACTTCTCAGCCAAATCCTTGCAACAACCGGTGTTACAAAAAACGGTCTAATGATCAAGCCACTCCATCCAACTTCCAACCCAAACTAGGACAAGTTCCTACTTGCCAAATATGCGATAAGAAAGGACATCTTGCTTCCAACTGCTAGTATAGATCTAATTTGAGCTTTCAGGTCCCAAAATTGTAGAAGAATGAACCCTTACTTTCAAAACTTCTGATGTTAATTTGTACCTTGACTTAGGAAATAAAATACTTCTTACGTCTGATCTTGATGAACTATAACAGTTCGCACTATATAATGGTGTAGATCAAGTGTTAGTTTATAATGATGTATATGTTCCCATCCATAATTTCGAGAAAGACTTGTTTCTCAGCCCAATCACATGCATTCTCTTTTCAAACATATTTCATATTATGCATGTTTCACATAACCTTCTTTCTATTTCTCAATTAGATAACCACTGTTCCATTTCTTTAGACTCTTAAGATCAGCATCAGGGATGAATTTGTTAAAGACATCATAATGTAAGGGTTGTGTCAAAAGAATCTATGTCCTGTAATATCTTCAACTCACACTCTTCTTGGTGTCTCCTCACATTCGGATCTTTAGCATTGAAGACTGAGACATGCAAACTCATATTCCATGGTTATTATTTCTCGGAAGCAAACTCAACTTTTAATTTCTAGCAATTTGTTTTTTTTGTAAATCTTGTATTACTATTAAGCATCGTAGTTTTATACTTTTACTTTCAAATAATCAAACTTATAAATCTTTGAATTAATTTGGGGTCCCTCCTTTCATTTTTCATTTAACGGATACAAATAGTACGTGCTTTTTACTGATGATTATTCTCAGTATTCTTGGTTATACCCTATGACATACAAAACTAAAGCTTTCCATATTTTATTAAATTTAAACAAAGTGTTGCACTTCAAATCAACACTCGTATAAAAATATGAATAACATATGGTGGTGGTGAGTTCAAGAATCATTTATTTACACAATATCTTAGCAATCATTACATCATTCATCAAACCTCTTGCCCCTTACTCCTCAACATCATGGTCTTGTTGAATGCAACCATATGCACTTTCTTGATACTACTTGTGCCTTTTTTGTCGTCTCAAACCTTCCTCCATCCTTTTAGTTTTAGACTGCTTTCATAGCTATATACTTAATAAATCGTACGCCCTTCACCACAACTCATAATAAATCACCCCATCAAATGTTGCATAACACTATCTTGACTATTCACATCTTCCATGAAATTTACATCTTCCATAGGACGACACTATCTCGAACTATTCACTCACAACATCTCCATTATTCACATCTTCCTATCCCAGACTATTCAAATCTTCTAATCAAATTTACATTCATACCTGTCAGATGTGTGCACCATTCATTGGAGGTACAACAACAAAAGTGTGTCGGCCCTAGGCTCTGATGTGTTCGCTCAGGCACAGGTACGCCCATGGAGCGGTATGAGTATGTAATCTTTCTCAGGAATTGGGTGCGGCTGAGCAAGGTCAAAATTCATTTATTTCCTCTTTTTGCTCCTCAATGTTCTTTTTTTGCTCTCTCTAAGTTGCTTAATCCATTGTAACATGTAGACACAACAAAATACATTCCACAAGTGTAATATTATCATAGATATGCAATAAAATATGAATTTAAATAAGAGAAGATCTCATATATTTCTTCTACATCACACATGACTCCTACCGTCGGTTTTTCTTTATGACAATTAGGTTGCCACCACTTCTTCATCATTTTATGTTACTTCATTTGTAATTGTCTCGTGCCACTTGTGGAATATCAATTACAGCCATTCAATGGATGATAAAGTCATGTATAACCTAATAAGCAAAGTGAAATTATATCAACTAGGCCAGACCCTTTGATTTTTTTCCTTATGAATTTTTCACATAAAAACTCTGATTGTCTGCTCTCTCAACCTTTTTTATCTATGTGCATCAGATCTTTCGAAAATATTAAGAGGTTAATACACTACTTTACCACCATGAATTTACCCGCACACAACAATAGGGTACTTGAAATGTTGTTTAAATTTTCCAATTAAATATCATTTGGAAGATGATTTAAAAGAATGTAACGCTTCATTTGATTTTCAATACACGCCTGTTTTTGTGATTGACAAACTTAGCCAATAAGGAACGTTTATGATTTATACTGAGAAAATGAACTGAACAATATTCTTTCGAAAAGACTAGTAATAAATCTTAAAATACATTGCGCAATTTTGAAAGGTTAATGTTACAATCATTCCGAAGATTTCCATTCATCAAGTTTTCTCTTTATTTTAGTTAAAATCAGTTTTATATATATATATATTTTA